CCATGGACCCCTTACCATGAGATGAGGGTCCTAGCCTCCCCACGGAGCCAAACACTGCCCCGCAGAAGCACGCAGCCCCAGCTCCACAGGTGGGATGGGAGACAGAGGGGCTCAGGCCAGCTCCACACAGAGTGGGCTCAGGGCTTTAGCCCTGCAACTTTTGCCACTAGGGTGGCTGGGGCTCCCGAGATGGGGACTTCAACCCCACATCTTCTGCCAGGGTCCAGGGCTTCTCCTCCCTGCCCCAGTGTGGTTCCTCCGCTTCCCACTCCAGTGCAGCTCCTGCCAGGGTCCGGGCTTCTCCTCCACCCCCACTCCCTCCCCCCACATGGCTCCAGCCCCATCTGGGGCTTCTCTTCCCCCACCCCCACATGGCTCCTGCCGGTATCTGGAGCTTCTCCCACTGCCAGGGCCGGCTCCAGGCACCAACTTGGCAAGCAGGTGCTTGGGGCAGCCACTCCGGAGAGGGGCGGCAGGTCCAGCTGTTCGGCGGCAATTCGGCGGACGGTCCCTCACTCCCGCTCGGAGCGAAGGACCTTCCGCCGAATTGCCGCCGCAGAGCGCGATCGCGGCTTTTTTTTTTTTGGCTGCTTGGGGCGGCCAAAACCCTGGAGCCGGCCCCGCCCACTGCACCCAGCCCTAGCCTAGCTGGGCTCCTTTGGGTCACCTGCTGCCTACTGTGGCTGGAGTGGAGCCTGGCTGGCAGGGAGCAGCCATACACGTGGACACCATGGCCACCAGCCCAAGAGGTGCGGGGCAGCCCTAGGCAAGCAGGGGCTGATAGCCCCGCACTCCCGCCCACACCTAACCCTAAGGCTTTTTTTTGTGTGTGTGTGTGTGTGTGTGTGTGTGTGTGACTCACTCAGCCCCTGCCGGAGCAGGGAGGCAGGAAGCAGTTGATTTGAGCCTGCCCTGCAAACAGCTGAGGAGCGGAGGGGGGAGGAGCAGCCTTCCCAGCCAGAGCTCAGGGCATTAGGGTGTGCCGAGGCACACCCAGCACACCCCGTGCGCACGCCTATGACCTTGATGTAGCACCATTTATCTTGAAGGCTCTCAGAGCATTTCCATACTGTACATAGACAGGCAGCACATTCCACGCCACTGCCAGTTTCATAATGGAAGGTGGCAGCTGCACGTAGGCCAGGAAGCAAAGCAAAGAATGCCGTTTCTTACCGATACTGCAAGGCATTACAAGGAGGGAAGGTGGTAATTACCCAGACAGAAATATAACCAGGACACTGCATGTACCATCCCATCCTGTTTCAATGAGCACACGTGGTCATCAGCTTCATCTCATCTGCCAGTCTTAGGTCTTTGCCTTGAATTTCCTGCTGGATTAGGTCAGGCCCTAGTTACGTGGATGTGCTGTTTGTGCACAAAGATCCTTGCAGTTTGTTTGGGACCTAGAGGCTTGAGCAGAGATGAGGGCTCATTCTGCTGGGCATAGCACATACACTGATAGCAGTCTCTTCCTTGAGGTGTAGACAAAAGGCTGGAACACAGAAAATGTCATTGACAGATAGGAACTGAAGCGTAGAGGGGCAGATCCTGAAACAGATATTTAGGCTCCTATGGACCTTTCATTTCAGTGGCCATTAGGAGTCTTTGAGGATCTGGGCCAGAGAGTCTTAAAGGCCAGATTTTCCAAGGTGTTGATGTGTCTAAAGATGCATCTAGGTGCCTACTGGTGTTTCAAAAGTGCCAGACTCCCATTAATAGACACCTAAATATCTTTGGAAATCTGGCCCTAAGTGACTGGCCCAGGATGGCACAGAGTGTCTGTGGCGGAGCCAGGAATCCAACCCAGATCTCCTGGGTCTCAGTCCAGCATCTTCACCGCAAGCCCATCCCATCTTGTCTGTCTTTGGCCCATGGAAGTTGTGCTACCTGGCCAAACCTAGACGTCAGTAGTCCGCTAGCAATGATGCATCAGGTTGCTGCCTTGCATAACCCCCCCCCCACCCCATCCTCAGCGTATGCCGTGCAGCCGGGCACACAAGCAGGGGGTGGGACCAGCTCCCCAGAGGGGCAGCGCTTGGTGGCAAGGATCATCCATCACCCTGAGTATGCCCATCTGTCTTCCTGAGCCCCTTCAGCTTGTGCCATCCGGGACCACGTGCTGGACAGCAGGTCCAAAACCAGTGCCTGTAAGGGACGTGCAGCCTGACACTAGGGCTTTGAATGAGTGTGGGGACAGGTTTCAGGGTGGGTGTGAAGAAGGGGGGAAAATCCTATTTGGGGTTCACTCCTCCAGCGGGGGAAAGGGGGAGAGAGTGCCAGGGGGATGGTGGGGGGAGGAGGAAGGCATTGCTGTGGTTTCTTCTAATACTTGGGAAGCGCTAAATGCCTGGAGGAGCTGGGCCTCAGATACTACAGAGACAAGGGCCATGCAAGTACCTGAACAGGTGGCCTGTGGGGTTCAGTGCACTGCTGATACAATTAATCACCCACCTCCAGGACCCCACAATTGCAATCCTGATCTCCCTGGCTACCTGTAAGTGTTATCAGTGACCCTGTGCACACAGTGCTATCAGGTGAGAAACTTGGGCTGGGTTCCCAGTTCCACTCACGCGCCCCCCCCCCCAAAGGGCTCTCCTAACGCTCAGGCCCTAGGGGAGGAAGCAAGAGACACTAAGGTCAGCTGTCCTCAGCCAGCGAAGGTCATTCTGACAAAGCAGACTCCGTCATGCATCTGACGAAGTGGGTATTCACCCCCGAAACCTTATGCTCCAATACTTCTGTTAGTCTATAAGGTGCCACAGGACTCTTTGTCGCTTTTTATTCTGACAAAGGAGACTCAGAAAGTCACAGGCACAATAGAGCTGTTCAAAGCTGCGTTTGCTGTCCAGGTGTGCGTGCTGGAAGGCATCCCCTTTGGAAGGTGGAAAATCCACCAGGAATGCCTCGGCGGGATAAAACTCCCTTTAGAGAGAGCAGAAACGGAGGCAATTACCTTGCCGCAGTCCAACACTTATGCACAGATAGGGACAAGCACTGAGCTACCACAGATCTCAGGGATAGATTATTTTTTAAAGTAATTACTGTAAAGTCTTTTTTTTAATTCTCTGGCTCCCCCGTGAGGAAAAACGGTGCAGTGCAGCTTTCAACCAGCAATGCTGCTGTGAGGGGTTAAAAATATACCACAGCCCATGATCTTTTTTTACCCTTTTCCTTGTGGTTGCAGTGCAGTAGATTCCTTTCACTCCTCCCTCTAGCCTTATGCTCTTTCCTGCACGTGATCCTATTCTCTGTCCCTCTCCCCCTTTGCTATGAGGAATCTGGAAAGAAGCACTGAACCCAGTCCTGGGGAATTTAGATTTAGTGAATTTTCCTTTATACTGACATTGGAAGAAACAACCAGGAGTCCAGGGGCACCTTAAAGACTAACAGATTTATTTGGGCATAATCTTTCGTGGGTAAAAAAAACCCACTTCTTCAGATGCATGGAGTGAAAATGACAGATGCGGGCATTATATACTGACACATGAAGAGAAGGGAGTTACCTCACAAGAAAGGCCAGAACTGCAAAGGTATGTAGGCTCCTAACTTCCATACCTTTGAGAATCTGGATCAAAGTCCCCCGTTGAGCCAGTGCATCAAAATGGGTAAACGAATTCTAATGTTAGTGAAATGGCTGCTTAGAGGAAAGGCGCTCTGTAGAAACGATGGCTTGGCTAGATGTGATTTACACATTTTATACAGCTGAATATGTCCTAGTGACTGGAATGGTGGGGTGGGGAGGGGGGAAGGGGGGCAGGATCTGTCCAAATTATGGAGAAATAAGAGACACTGGTTGCCAAGATAAGAAATATGATTTTTTTAAAAAGTAGATGCTAGTGATATTGCAGATAAGAACTATAAGAGTAAAATTTCCAATCGTCTCACAGGGAGTTTTGGGCACTTTATGGGCATAAACTAACCCCCAAGAGTCACTAACTAGACCCCCCTGTGAATTCTTCTGCTAGATCCCAGAGAAGAATGCACTCCCGTAAGGATTTGCTTGGGAGTGAATGATCTTAGTGTACGTTTTTCCATCAGGAGCAGCAATGTAGTGCTCCCTCAGAGAGAACTGGTTGGATTTGTATAAGTGAAAATGCTCAACCAGAGAGAGCGGAGACCACAAGATAAAGTCTGAAAAACCATTCGAAGCCTTAAGAAGGCAGGTTCTGCTCTGGGGCTAGAATGGTGAGACAGCACTTCAGAGCTTTGTGGCTTTCTTCCCAGCAGCTGCACCCCCGGCACTTGCCTGGCGTGTAACATCCACTGCTAGCTCTCCTCATCTGACCAAGGACCGAGCAACATGTGACCAGAATTCTCCATCTGTAAAGCCAGGGCATGAGGTACTTGTCCTTCTGCCTCCGCCATCACCATCCATCACTGCCAATATAAGTAAGTCCTTCTCAACCACCATCCTCTGCCCTCCCCTGGGATTGTGCTAGTGGATGGGACCAGCCATTGCTGCCAACAGGTTAGGCTGGTGATTAGCGCCCTGAACGCCATCACTACGATTGGCTGCTGTTGTACTGCAGTCGGGGGAGCACTACAAGAACCACCTCTCTCCTTCATACTCTGTTTTTGTGGCTGGTAGCTCATCTTTCTGTCCTTGTCTCCACAGATGGCAGCTGGAGGAGCCTGTGCGTGCCCAGGAAAGAGAGCTGCTTTTCATTGAAAGAATCATTCCATCCACGATAAAACACCAAACCCGGCATCCCTATGCTGCATTCGCTAAGGTTGCTCCTTTTGTTCCATGGATGCAACCCTACCTTCTCACCTGACCGTGTGCACGGGTTCTTGTTGGGTTGGAGTTTGTAGGCCCTTGTGCTCTGCTCCTCAATCTAACTGATGGAGCTACATTGGGTGCATGTTCTTACAGGCATGTGAGAATACATTTTCAGAGGCGCTCACGCGCCCCGCATGCTCCTTTGAATATGCAGTGTGTACCCAAGACCCCGCTGGCTTATTCATAAGACGACTTCATTTCCTAGCTCCTGGCAGAAAGGATCTAGTTATGCAAAGATGCAGCTTACGCGCGTGTTATCACTCCCGGATGCCATAGCTCTTAAGATCGATCCTCCATGGCTTGCACCTCCGTACATGAGAGCCTCTAAGGCAGATCAATCAGATTGTTTTAGCACAGTAGGGCCAAATCCATTGCTGATGATGCCAGTGGAGTTACACCAGTAATGAGCTAGGCTCATGATGTACGGATTCCAATGGGCCACGAACAGCGTCGTTTCGGTCACTACTTCGGCCTGTAATGCACGTATTGGGTCTATACTGCTGCCGCCAGTGGCCTAGGCATGCACAGAGCTTACAATTTGCACGTCTTGTGGTGAAGATTCCCTAGGGCAACATTTTACCACCTGATAATAAAAATGAGGCCAGAAAAATCCATAAGCGCAATGGCACCAATGTGAAATTAAGCTTCCTTGGGTAACATGCTGCCAGCAGCATTAACAGATACAATGCTGGGTAATGGAGGAGCAGAGGATTTCCAGCCCAGGCTTCAACAATACTACAGTCCAAGGAAAATCAATAAAAAACACTAAGGAAGAACTGAGGAGAGAGAATGGGGAATAAAATGAACACACTTAACATCAATAAAGGTTTGGGGAGCAGGGAAAAGGAGACGCTTCTGATTTCATTAAGGAGCAGATCAATGGCTTTAGCTGGCTGGTTGGTCTTTGGGTGAAGGAAAAGTGTAAACAACCCAGTGAAAAAATCACTGGACACAGGAACCAATACTTTAAAATCCTGTGTACACATATATAAACGTTTTGTCTTGCTGGGGCAGCTTCCTAGCCCAGATCTCAAAAGGCTTTAGTGCATTTAGCCACACACCATGTTGGTGGATAGAGATCACCTTACAACTGGGGAAATAACTAATACCTAAAAAACTAATAATAGTTTCAGCTAAGGATGAACCCGGAAGCATTACCCATGATGCAGCTTCCATGCGTCCTCACATTCCCTCCCACTTGGACCCTGCATCAGTTTCCCAAGGTCCCCTGCTGATGCACGCCTCACAGGCCCACGCTAAGTATTCTGGTAGAGAATCACTGTGATTGACTAGTTCTGGCTTTTCACTGACTCAATAAATTGATGGGTTTGATAGCTAGCAAGGGGGCATGGGATTGCACGTGGCTTCAGTTATCAGCACAGGCTGTGAGCAGAATGAGGAGCAAGGGGAGGAGAAAGGTACGAGAGGTAAAGCCTTTATTTTTCGAGTGTGTTTGAATCCAAGCACCTGCATTAAGAAAACAATGGCCCAACTCATCCCCTCCCCCGTCTCCTCTTGTTGGACGGAAACGGTGCAGCAATGGGCAGAGATCAGCACTTGGATAAAAGCGAGTTGTCTGTAACTTACTCCAGGTAAGATAAAGGTCGCATTGAGGCAGAAGTGATTTCTTCTCCCTCCCTTGAGAGGGTTAGCATTACTCTGATTGACAAGCTAAAGGTCTTAGCGGGTTCTCAGCTGACAGCAGTAGCCAACATTTATTTTATCTGCATCTGGCAAGGAGGGTGTGAACCTCCCTCTCCAATACAGACCTTGTACAGCTAATCAGCCTTTCACCACTAGCTCCAACGATAGGAATGCGCTGTAAAGTGAGCTACGCTTGAAGACTACTTGACATTTCAGCTAATGAAGAAAGCAGCTACCCACCACTTGTGGTTCTCATACAAAGCACACAACTCCTGTCTTCAGAGCCTGCACCAGTGGCTTCCAGATAGTTTCTAGGTGCAACTGGAAGGGCTGACTTTGACCTACAAAGCCCTGCATGATTTGTGCACTCAGAAGATGCTTCAGTCTTCATGCCTGATCCTGGGAAGTGAGGTCAGCTGGGCTGCTCTCCAAGTTTGAACAGCTGGGGGCACCTTGGCTGCAGAAGCATCCAACCAAGGCCTGGCTTCCTGACCAGCTTGGTGCAAGGGCTTGATTTACCCAGGCTTTACACCCAACAGGGAGGGCAGAGTAAGGGAAGTTCCTTTGAGCTGAATTTTTGCAAACTCGTTATACCTTGGGGACATCCTTCACTGCTCTCACAGCGACTGACATGGGAGCAACTTTTATAAGTCAATATTTTGGTGGATATGCCTTTCCACGAGCATATACCATTAGATGGTGTCTGTCAGACACTGCATTCGGCAATGCCGAGAAGGGTTAACGTTCCCCATTACCTCTGCAGTACCAACTTTCACCAGTGGGTGTCTCTCTTCACCGACTAACAGAGCTAGCGTGCTGTAGCAAGTGTGGGGCTCCACCAGTGATGAATGGGATCCTACAGAAGAGACACTCCAGTTTTTGGTTTTGGCCAGGAAATCAGAGGAGGCTACTAAGTTGTTTGCTTTTCAGATTAAACTAAAAGGTTACATGTTACATGGAAATGTATATAAAGCAGCCAGTACCAACACTCAGCTCTATGCTATAGCATTTGGAAATATTTTTGGTAGAGCCTATTGGTTTGTAGGCAAAAGGCCTCACACTTGTCAGTGACCAATGTAGAAATATAGGCATGTGTTTGACTGACAGTGGTCACTCACCCCCCGCCCCCCTTGATTTTATCCCGATCTCTAGTGTTTCTTCTAGGCTTTTAAACAAAATCAGAACAAAACCTCTAGAAAAGCATCTCGTCTGTCACCCTGCATTAAATACAGTCACAGTAGAAATGCTTCCAGAGCCTAGGGAAGAGGTACACCATCGCACAAGTCACCTTTGAAAATGTGGTGGCACACAGGGAATTGTTGTGTTTGTGAACGAGATGGTAACCACAGCCATCTCCAGCAGTAACACACACAGGTTCTGCGACCAGCCCTATCTTCTTCAGACAGCTCCACCTAGGGACCTCCATCTTCCCATGCGACTCCCCCTGGCTATTCCAACCCTGGCCCACAAGGTTCTAATTTTGTACCTCAGTCTTCTCTCAATGTCTCTGTCTTCCTATGGTGATTGGCAATCACCTGATATTCACATTAATAGCTGGTAGTGGAGCATCAACGCAGAGGCACCTTGCCCTTTCAGATACTGACAGGATGAAAATTTAGGAGTCGGTGATCTATAAATATTGATGTCAGCGCCTAATCTAGCCCTTCTCACCTGACCCAAGAATCCTGATGCGGAACAGAATAGAAACCATCATATTCTCCCTGATATGCAGTTTTCTTTTACTTTGGTGCCTATAGCAATGTTAGGCACGGTGAATTACAATGATAGTTTTCACTTCATTCAACATCTTTTCTAAGTACTTCAACACACTCTTAAAATAAGAAGCAAATTTCACTTCCCTCTAGGAGCCAGAAGTTATCCCCATTTTAGAGATGGGGAAACAAACATAGATTAATGAACTTTCCATCCAGGATAATACAGCGAGAAGTGACAGAGCTGGGACTAGAACACAGATCTTTTGAGTCCCAGCACGCTGATCTAACTAGCAGACACCTCCCACAACCCCACGCTTATGTTAGTTGTCTCCAATACTAACTTTGGCACCAAAGACCATTCTAAAAGCTCATCAAATGCTGCATAGAAGGGTCACAGCTAAATTCCATTTGATTCAGCCCTGTTCATTTTAAAAGCCCTTCTCAAGCCTTGGAATTTATTCATTTATATACAGTAGCTTAAGTCTAGCCTCATACTCCCTGTGAATATCCTAAATCCCTTAAATAAGATTCACCCACCCCTTTTGCAAATATCTAGGACAGCCTCATGAATCAAAACTGGCATTGTGGGCAGCATGCAAAATTACTGTAGGTGCCTGCCGTGGAGACTACATGACAGCAACATGATTGGGGAAGGCAGCCCGCGTGGCTGATGCTAATTAGAGACTCTAGCAGATGGAACAGCAGCTACGCTGCGTGGCAGAAAATGCCACCATATAGTTCATTCCACCACCGCCCCCAATCTCAGCTCAGATTCCAAGGCCAGAAAGGACCATTGTGATCATCGTATCTGTCCTCCTATGTAACACAGCGCACAGAACTTCCCCATGGATGCACATGGAAACACAAACCCGTTCAAACACACAGCCTGCAACCATGCAAAATTTCCAAGGCATAACTATAAAACCAGATCTCTCTCTTCCCCATCTCCATTTCAACACTGCTGTTAAATGAAACCTATGTCAGTTATACGCAGGCAGGTGACCGGAAACCCAGCATAGCAACTGCAAATGAGTCAGGAACCTACCTTAGTCCCCGTAGTCAGGTTAAAACCCAACTAGTCCAGTGTTTTGACCATTAGTGCCCATCTGCACTACAGCATAATTGAGTCAAGGGACAAGTATGTTGTAACCAGGACCTGAGCTGTAGTATAGAGAGATGAGGCCATAGCCCCAATGTGTAGTGAGGAATCCACATGAGAATGAAGGACAGACAGGTAATGGTCACAGCCTTCAGCCAAGATAAACAAATGTATCAAAATTAAAAAGGAAAATAAATAAAAGAACGAACCAGAACCTTGGAAAAAATGTCTATAAGCAGTCTGCAGTGGGACAGAAAACTCAGGGGCTGCGGTCGACTATCCGATTTGACCCCAGTCATCAGATGAATCCTTCTGAAGCAGTCTCCTTTCTCAGCAGCACTCCGCTGAAAGCTGTTCACACAATGGCCGGCGAGAGGAGAAGGTCCTGCTCCTCTTTGGATGATCAGTGTATTTGGACTCCTGAAAGCTCAGCTGGCACTTTCTCTGCAGGGGACCCTGATGCGTACTGAAACTTGGCCTCCAAGTTCTCCATCCCCGTGGGTATCAGAGAATCAGGCAGACATGCACCTTGGGGGGAGTGGGGATCAGCTGGTTGGCAGCAGTGTCCAGGTGAGGCACCGAAGTGGCTCTGCACATAGAATTTCCCAAAGGCAGGGTTGGTTTGGTATGGGGGGGAACCATGGATGTGCGCTGGTGTGCAGTTGTGCCAGGATCCCAGGCTCTGGGCACTGGGGTGCTGCAGTTGAACCACAGGAAGGGCTGGAGGTGAAGAGCAATAGTAGCTCTGGGTGGGGTATGAGCCTGGCACTGGATTAATCCTGAAGAGAAAAGGGGAAAGAAAAATGAGTGTGTTCACATCTGGCATTTCCAAATATCGACAAGCGCCCGTCGGGCAGGCCTCCCTCCGACTCCACTACTCAGAACGGGCATTAGTGTCAATCCCCATCACGACCGGCTGAGTTCAGCTGCCACTTCTTAGCAGTTAAATAAAAGTAGGCTGGTCGGCCACCACTAGAGACATTTCCACACCCCTCAATGGAGAAAATACACGGCCATAGTCTTGTGGAACAAGCATGCATGGAACCCCGTGCACGGTAAGAATTCTGTATGCATCTCTTGTGCCTCCATTTAAGGTGTGTGTCCTTTAACTATTCACCTGCTGAGCCTCGAAGGCCTTAGGAGAAGAGAAGAATAGGCAGTTCTGAGCTATGGGGGCAGTTATTAGTATAATGACTAATTCAGGAGTGAGGGGATCCAGAAACAGCAGCTGCTAAGAGGAGGTGCGACTCAGCAGGATAAATCAGACCTGGAGATGCTCTGCCCACCAGGTAATAAAGGAACAATCCTTCTGGGTATTTGGCAGTTGTGGTCTTTGTGACACCCCATTCTCCAGGGCGAGTACTGATCAAATTGGAAGAATGGGGAGTCA